CTCAGTTGCATTGGAAGAAATCTCTGAGGTTCAGGCAGTGGAGTCCGAGATGAAAGACATTAATTTCATTTTGATGCAGGTAACAGGTAAAAATGGCTACCAAGTAATAAGCGCGTATGAGAAATCAGTAGGTTTCTGGTGCATGTTCCAAAGGGGATCCCATCAGTCATTCCATATTTTCCACTGACCACCAGTGAACATGACAATAAACATTTTTTACTGTCTGCGAGTGGTAGATACCAGCGATTCATATTATAAATCATGTAATACGATTCATATTATGATGATAATTCTCACATGTGCACTCTTGTACACTAAGGACTTATTCCTCTTTTTTTATGACAACTTAAAATCTAGGTTACAGTGATTTATACACAATAGAAATCGGAAAAACAAGTGCCCTTGGATGCTTGATTTCACAGCACTTTAAGTTCTAATAAATTATGTTTTAAAATGCCTGGTGAGGGGCGCCTGGGTGGCTCAGTCAGTTAAGCGTCCGAGTCTTGATTTCAGCTCAGGTCGTGATATCAGAGGTTCGTGAGATGGGACCCCACGTCTGCTTCTGCACTTACATGGAGTCTGCTTGGGATTCTGTCTCTCCCTTTTTCTCTGTCCCCACCCCACTCACACTTTCTCTCTCTCCCAAAATAAATAAATAAGCTTTAAAAAAAAACAAAAACAAAAACAACACTTGGCAAGACCTCAGTTGATTTGGGGGTGGGGGAGGATAGATTTAATACTTTGTTCCAGCTTTGTTCCCGTAATCGTGATGAGGCTGGGGAATTATTGTGAAGCAGTTCACAACAGTTCAGATCAAGGTGAATAATTTACACTAGTGTTGCCCCTCCATCCCACATATTTGAAATTATTTTGCCTGTTTGCATTCATTTTGAGAATAAAATTTGGAAAACCAATTTGCACGTATCTGCATCTTTATTCTTCTCTCTTCGGTAGTTTGACTAAAATATCCCTTGTGTTCCTACAAGTTCCTAAGCCTTTTCTACCCTGTGCTGCTGTCTTTGATTATCTTCTCCAACAAGGCTCAGTATGAAATGCTGTAAGGGAGCTGGAGCTCATTACGTGACTGTTTAAATTTATGTGCTCCACATCGGGTGTAAAATAAGATGGTACACACCTGAATGATTTTTTTTTTTTTCTTAAAACCAGCGAAATAATTGTCAGGATTTCACTAGCTAATTTTGAAATGCACAGAGCCAGCTCAATAAACATTCATTAAATACTTAGGTTTGAGTCCTATACTGTCTTGTTCTTAAACAGTGCAGTGTTCCAATGAAAACATAAGAATGGTTTTGTGAGGGGCGCCTGGGTGGCTCAGTCGGTTAAGCGTCCGACT